CAATTAAATTTTTTTTGTTTGATGTAACAATGTGGAATAACTATTTTGAGATTCAAAGGATTTCATTCTTATCTCAGTTGTTGGTATAACTGTTTGGTCTATCTGTTTTCAAAACACATGAATAAATTATTGATATATCATGAGACAATTGTAATTGGTTGGTGTCGTATATAATCAGTGACTTTTTAGTGTAAATGTTTTTAGACCATATGAATAATTGTTTGGTATATCATATGACAAGTGCAACTATTTGATGTAACTGATTAATATATTTATTTATTTCTGCATTGATATCAAATTATGACGAAATAACTAATTGGTGTAACTTTTTATCTTATTCTACATCACATGGGTATATCATGATAAGGCCAATAATTTATCTTATCAAGACAATACAAAGCTGACAACTTTTTTGACCAGCCAATTAAAATCAAGCACAATTTTTTATATATGAAAATAAAGACACATATCTCGAGAATATAGCAACCCAAGGAGCATGGTCTTTCACTAGTAAATATCTCTAAATTTTTTCTATAAAGATGGGTGAAGACCCAAAGGTCAGTAGGCCCTGATATGAGAATTCTCAGCTCCATACCTCTCACACACACATTCTTACAATTTTTTTAGTTTATAAAGTACCGTATTCATCTTAGGCATCAGAGGGGCCTCCCCTGACTCAACACCGAGGTCCTCTCTAGCCTCTCTCTGATTTTGCAACTCTTGGCCATATGATATTTGAAGATTATGAGTGCACCGTCAAAATTTCATTAATTGTGCAGAAACTATCTCGTACAACACACAAACACACGCACAAACAAAGAGAGAGTATACCACATTGACATTCGTGAAAAGGTGCCTATCATCGGAGGAGGAACTAGAAATGGAGTTAGGTTGCGAAGATGGAGAAGCCGAAAAGAGCTCGAATTAGAGAGACTTAAGCTTCTCCGACAAACAAGCGCAACCAATGACGGTGTGGCCTCTCTTTGCCATTTCTAGGGTTAGGGCTCTGTCGAGCCCGCTACTCACACTAGTTATTAACACCGTCCGTTGAGCTACTCTGTGTAGAAAGTTCATCCCTCCCGACGATGGCGATGTCGCCGATGTTGTTGTTGTGTCCCCCTTTCCCACCTTTCTCTCTCTCTCTCACTGGCTCACCATTTTTTACACATGTTAGTGATAATATTTTGTAACTTTTTGTTTATGGCATTTCAAAATGTTTTGCTACAACATATATGAACTTGGACTTGGACCTAGGATCGGGCCTAGACTTGGTCTTGGGTTTGGGTTTAAGATTGGGATCGGGACTTCTAACTTGCAACCTAAAATTGACTAAATATTGAAAATTTTGGAAGTTGATACAAAAATTTAGAGTTAATTAAGCTAAATTGGGTTTAAGCCGGTACACTAAATTAAGTTTATCATTATACAAAAAAGTTTACCATTACACTAAATTTAGTGTATATAATTGGTGTAACTATGTCGTGATACTAAATAGTGTAACTCTTTAGTTTATATAAATAACTGTATAACAAATGAAGTTGGTGTCATAATTTATGGAAGGGTAAGTAAGTAAAAAAATTTAAATGTCATTTAAATTTTGTACCTAATTACAAGATATTTTAGTAAAATTGAACTTAATAGAGTAAAATATTTATCCATACACTTCCTCTTAAATAAGTTTAAAAAAATGTACCCATACTAAAAAAACCCATAATTATTTAAGGGTGAATTGCACTTTGAAAGATTTCAAAATTTTTATTTTACATTCTTAAAAATTAAATTTTTTACATTACACACTCAATATATAAAAAATGTTGCAATATAACTCTTTTGTTAGCTTTTTGTTAATTTTTTTTGTCAATGTTAATACGTTGGCTTTTGATAGAAAAATAACGGAATCAATCAGAAGGGTTAAAGTGGGAATGTGAGAAATTTAATATTTTGATATATTGAGAGTACAATGTAAAAAAATTAATATTTTAGAGTACAAAATGAAAAACTTAAAATTTTTCAGATGTAAAGTGCAAAAAGTCCAATATTTTTAATGTAAGAATGAAATTACATCATCACAGTTTCCCTCCAAGCTGCACAATCTATGTCTTTTAAGAACCATTACACCAAATGAGAGTAGATGATATATTACCACTGAGTGGGTAATTCAGTGAGCGTACTGGTCGAACTTCTTACACTAACAAAGATCTATTGAAGTGATCTCTTAACGTTCTCCTCGCCCCTATCCCTTTTTTTCTCAACAAAAAAAGAGTAGATGGTATCTTGAAGCTATGATAATCAACCTGCGTGCCATAGACTTCTCGTGATAGCTTGAAAACCCAATGGTGGAATGGAATTAGAAGGGTTTGTTTGTGCTAGCCTTTGCTAGCTTGATGGACTTGCGAAGCTGATAGGGGTAAAGATTTTCTTTAGCTGATAGGAGTTTGTCGAAGATGTAGAAAGATGACTTCAATCAAAAAGGCTTGGTATCTGATAGAAACAAAAAGAACCATATCATTAGAGAAAAAGAGATCGTATGGTCAGCAATAGCAAGGTTCATGTTCGCATGAAGTCGCAACCTCAATCCTCATCCTTAACCCTCTAAGAAATATACATAATTTGTAACAAAAATTTTAGTCAAATACTTTTGGGATTCATTGAAAAAATACACACAATTACTGAAAAAAGAATACATGTACACAATTTCGTCATCGTCCACAAGAATTTTCAATAATGACATAGGTTTTTTTTGTTATAGGTGTTCAGTCTTACGCTAACTATTTCTTCGAGCTCAAGCTCAAATGCGCCACCGTAACTTGAGCTGGGTTAGAACATGTTCTTAAAGGAATACAAATGATTAGTCCTTAGGAGAAATGAAAAAGAATTGAACTTGATACCTCTAATTTATCAAAAACCAGGTCCAACTACTAAATCAAGTGTTAATAATAGCATAGGTTGGGCACTTTGATGCAACCCTTTTATAAAGTATATACTTGGGAAGCAAAAGGCATTATATGGATCCAGAGAAAGGCTTAGAGAATTTATTTTTTTCAGTTGTAATAAGTTTAGCTTCAAAACCAAGAAAACCAAAGGCTAATTTGAGTGTCACTTTTACCCACAATCATCTCCGATATAATTCCTTGCAGTGATCCAGTATTTCGTAAGATTATTTTAATAGAACTAAAAGTGATATAAATATTACTTATTATGAATATTTTTAAATATTATTGAAATTAAACAGCATATTGTAATTGTGTAAAAGTGTATTTTGGATATATATACATTTGTTTATTATTAAAATAAATAAGAAATAATGATGACATAAATTTTTCTTATATTGAAGGTAAAATTATAAAATAATAATATAATATACATATACTGTATTATAATATCATCTCTACGGTGGGATTAAAATTAACTCAATAATATGAATGAATTGTATTAAAATTATCTATAGGAGATACTTATCTATTTTATCCCATATATAATAGAGTTATTCATCATAATACAACATATTTAAAACCTATGAAGCACGGATACTTTGTTGAGGTTGACATACCCGTATCGGATACGATACTCATCGGATATTCGAGAATACGTATCGGATATACCTTTTACGTATCCGATAATAATTAAATATTAGAATACTTCACAAATACTTTTGTAGTCGAGCAATATATAGAATTTTTAAATTGAACTTTTAACATCTCTTTTCGAATTCACATACAATACAATATATTAAAAAAATTCATATTACTTAAAAGACAGATGAGTGTTTTTTAAATATTATCTACAATTACACGTAAAAAGAGCATAAAATAAAGCTAGCACATTATAATCTTAACAAAAATTATTTCTAAATATTAGTTAAATATTAGCTTTGATTCCTTTAATTAGTCATTTCACTTTGTGAATATACCACAACGACACAATATATATTTTCTTAAAATTAAAAAAAATTACTAATTTTTTTTATTATATGTTAAAGAACTACCAAAATATATAAGTATTAAGTTGATTGAAAATAATAAAAATATTAAATATATTTTATTATAGCCGTGTCTTAGTCGTACTCATATCCTCCTTTTTTAGATTTTGTTGTATTACCGTATCCGTATCATATCGTATCCTTATCCAATATCCGCATCCGTGCTGCATAATTTAAAACATATTTATTAATTTACGATACTTTTGAATATATTTACTAAATTTCGGTATTTTTATTTAAAATTGGAGTCAACAATCACACTTTTAAATACAAAATTGCTAAACATTATTATATAATTAAAAAATGAAAAAAGTGTTTACTAACCTCACTTTTTTCGCTGTCACGAATATTCTTCTTCAGGTTCCCTGTCTTTCTGCTTCTTCCCTTTCTGTCTTCCACTCTCTACACAAGCACACACACCCGTTAACAACACAAGTCTCTTTCTGTCTTCATCTGTCTCCCTCTCTCCCCATAATTTCCTCACTCTACTCCAGCCTCTACGCTTTCTGCAAAACAACAGGGAGATATTGTTTTAGTTGGTGTGGATGAGGGGGTAGCCTGTGTACACGATGTATCATACCCCGAGGGCTACATTAATTCATAGTCTTTCAAATTCATCATCAGCTCAATAGGACAGGACACCGGCGAAGGAATTCCTTTTTACTCTTGACCCTTTTCAGTCCGAAGCAATCAAATGCCTCGACAGTGGCGCATCAGTCATGGTAAAATTTTTGATATAAATTAACAATTGTGGCTGTGTTATGTCATTGTTGAATATAGAATGTATTCAAAGGCCATGTATTTGTTGTTGATTTTTTGGGAAAATATGTTCTATGGTGTGGTTGGATAACTCGCTTGAACATGGGTTGCACCCCATGTTTGGCACCTGCAGTGGAATTTTCTTGCTACTCCAGTGAAAATAAGAAAAAATTTCTGATTGTTCAAGCAATAAAAATACCAATGTAGATGATGCACACCTTGCAGATTACAGGGTATTTTTATGGAAATATCATTTTGGTACATGGATAGGTATCCGCACACACATCAGCAGAAAAAAACTGTTTTAGCTTTATATGCAATTGCTATGTCATTGCGTAACAAGCACGTGTTATGTACACTTAACCTATCAAGGCACTCAGCATCCGAAAGTATAGAGAGTATATTAGAGTTCTCAGATGTTGGTTTGATGACTGGAGGAGTGATAATTCAATCCCAATGCGTCTTGCTTGGTAGGTCTGGTGGTTAATTTGATGTTTGCTTTCAATCTGTGAGCTTTAGACTGCCTTGATTTTTTGAGTTACTGAGTTGCAATTTTATATCAGGTGATGACTACAGAAATCTGGCACAGTATGCAGTACAAAGGATCCGATGTTATACGAAAGGTGGTTTGGATTATATTTGATGAGGTATATTACATGTGTGATAGGGAAAGAGGGTGGTATGGGAAGAGAGCATTGTCATGGCCACAAAAAACTCTCGATTCGTATTCCTCTCTGCTACGGTGCCCAATGCAAAGGGGTTTGCTGATTGGGTTGCAAAGGTGCTTTAAAGTTGCTTTTTACTTTTTCTTTTATCACCAGATTATGATGACTGTAGATGCTTGTTATGTACGAGTAGAGTGGGAGGCTTATGAGGACATGTGAGGCTCATGAGAACACGTGAGGCTTTTAGATGTAGCTGCTCTCAGTGGCTTTTTTAAGGATTGAGGACTGTTCCCTAGATTAAATAGTGAAACATCCTGTAGGATTCTGTATGATTTGAAAATTATAGTAGTTCACACTATAACGGCTAACATCCTCCCCCTCAACGCAAAGAAAAAACACTTAGTAAGTAGGTACATATTACTGCCATTAGTGGTTGTTAGTGCACTGAAAATGTAGGCTGAATATCACAACAGTTATTATTCCTGAAAAAATAATTGGTGTTCGGTAATTGATTCTAGTAACCTTTTCTCTTGCTATATATTATTAATTAGAAATGAGATGTTTGAGAGAATACTATGAGGGCAAGATAGATCCTTCTATAAAAATGAGAAATAAACCTTGAAGAGATAGGCAGCAGGAAGGGAAAAACAAGACAAGGAATAGAAACAGATTATATAAATCAATCAGAGAGAAATAAAGGGTTCTTAGAAAGGAAAATTAAAGAAGAGAGCCTTCGAATTAATTGAGTTTATTTTAAAGTTAATTATCCACACCCATTAGCTTCATTCAAATATTGATGTCTTGAAGTTTGATTTTTCATATGTAGAGAGAAATATATGCCTGGTTAATATGATGGTATTAATTTTACTTCCCAGAGTTCAGGTCCATCGGCAACCATGTCATGTCTTCTATCCTGATTATAGACCAACAACTCTTCAGCATTATGTCTTTCCTTCTGGAAGCGATGGTCTGTACTTACTGGTGGATGAAAAGGGAAAATATTGTGAGGATATCTTTCACAAAGGAATGCTCTTGTGCCTGCTAGTGAAGGTGAGAGGAAAAGGGGGAATGGAAAATGGCAGAAGGGTTTGATGGTTAGTAAAGCTGGTGAAGAAAGTGACATATTCAAGATGGTGCAAATGATTATTCAGCGCCAATACAGTGCTGTGATATGTTTCAACTTTAGCAAAAGGGATTGTGAATTTCTTGCAATGCAGTTAGTTGGAGTGAAATTTGCACTTTGAGGGAAGATTGCATACTTCTGAACTTGTATTAGTGAAACTACTCAGTCTTGTCATTTGACTTGTAGTGTTTTACAATGGGGTGCCATGTCATCATGACTTTTGATGGGTCCACGGTCCACCTCAAGTATGGCTCAATCATTTTTTTTGATAGGAAAGGATATGATATTATTAATAATAAAAGTAAAACAAAGGTGACAAGTTGTCCAAACCAAAGACATGTCAAAACAAAAAATTACAACTTGAAAAAAAAACAACCCAAAACTACAGTCCGCCCGTAGCTGTCCAACTCGAGATAATGTAGAAGAGAGGAACATTTTTCATCAGCTAAATCATTGTTTATTGCACTTTTCAGTTCCTTCTGGAAGAAGAAAGTCCCTCACATGTTCTTTTTTTACTCTTATTCCTTTTGTTATCTGTTGTAAGGAAAATATTATTATTTATTTTCAAACATTTAGTTCATTTTGGTTATTGATGAAAGGTCTTGTTCTTTTGTTTGGTCCTCAGATGGCAAAGATGGGTTTAAATGAAGATGATTAGAAAGTGACCATAGAAACTATTTCTTGGAGTGCTATGGATATGTTATCAGATGATGATAAGAAGCTACCTCAGGCAAAGATGTTATTACCCTTTTGTTTAATGTGTGTGACCGGAAAGATGTGATATCCTTTTCATATTATGCCTTGAAGTTGTGCCCCTCTTACAAATGCATTTGAAACTGATAGGCTTTTCGGCCTGATATCATGGAGGCTATTGCTTGGGCGAAAGGGTCCAAATTCTATGAGATTATGGAAATCACACAGGTTTTTGAGGGCAGCTTGATCAGGGCTATTAGAAGACTGGATGACGTTCTTTAGCAGCTAACACAAGCTGCAAAATCCATTGAAGAAATCAAGCTTCAAGTAAAATTGGAGGATGCTGTTGCCAAGGTCAAGAGGGATATCGTTTTTGCTGTATCTCTATTCTTGTAGACTGATAGGTTTCAGTTATTCTCTGAAATATAAGATAGGGATGTAAACCCCTGCAAGACTAATTTTTAGTAATCTGCAAGCAGATGCATGCAGCATCGCTACTGGTAAAAGGGATGGGAGTTCAGCTCGGCCAAGTCATGTCATGTGGTGTCTGACATTTCTGGTCCGGTAACTTGTATCCATGGAGGCTCTCACTGTGGAATTATATTTTCCACAATAAAGAAGGTCATCTTAGTTTTAACAAGGATGCCCTCGAGGATTGTTCATATCAAGAGTAGAAAGGGAGACTATTTCTGGGCTTTCAATCTGGGCAACACAACAAGAAGAATTCAGAATGAGGTAGTCATTCTCATGTCAGTGAGCCTTAACACTGTGTTTCACTTTTGGCCGATTTTTTTGGCACTGGTTTTATTCCATATGACAAGTTCACTTGTTAGCACTATCATCCAGAATGATATTTCTCGCTCCTGCATTATTTTAACTGTAATTTATGATTTTATATTTCCTCTTTTATTTATAAGAAATTTGTTCCAAGAGCATCCTCAATTTCGTTGCGACTGTAATTGATGTTGACATAGTGGAGGGGCTTACTCTGAGATTCATGGTAATTACATATATTTTTGGTTGCTAGTGGTTATTTTAAATTCAAACCCCTCTCCCTCTCCCTCTTTTAGATGCCATATTTGCATTTAACCAGTTGTGTTACAACAAATTTTGAAGCATATTAGGTTACTTTTAGAATTTCTATCTTGGGTCGGTTAGTTTTAATATGAATTATGGTTGGTAAGCATAACACTCTTGTATATATACTTTTTTTGGTGTAACCTCATATTGACATCAAATTATTTGCAGTTTAAGGTGATGTCCAGGCTCCAAAACCAGAATAATAGACCCTTGGTGTTCACATGCTACAAAGATGAAGCAAGCTCAAGTTGAAGTTTGAAGCAATCGGCTGAAAAATGTATGCAGTTACCAACTGTTCCAAAGTTACAACAACTTTGCACAAGCTGTAAGCCCCTGTATTCAATTACTAGATTTCTGGCACCCAGTAGAAACATTGTCACAAAAACTCCAAACAAGAAAACAACAGTACATATATGCCACATTGCCTATCTCCCAAAGGCAGCTAACCTCTACACCCTATACAATGAAAAACTCTTAAGTTACTACCAGATAATGTTACATAGGACTATCCCTTCCAACTATAACAATTGGTTTCATGTTGCCCCAATCATAAACATCCTTGATTAATTGGATGAAAGGCTTTGTCATTTGTCTCCTAAACCCTTCTGTTAGCTTGTGTTATTCATTCTACCAATGTTAATGATGTATATTTTTTTTTTTTGCAGAAGCGGCAAAAGCTAACAAAAGTACTATATATTATAACACTTTTAACACATTGAAAGTTCAATATAAAAAATCTAATACTTGAGAGTATAAAGTAAAACATTTTAAATCTTTTAGAATGCAAAATGTGATTCCACCCAAAAATTTTCCAGAATTACAAACTTGAGACAAATTATCTTGATGTGTCTAATAATTACCCTTTATGCCTCGGGAGTTTGAGAAATTATAGTCATCTAGGTTGACTAATGTTTTCGTGGTGGTGATGGTTGTAGTAGTAGTGTGGTGTTTTAAGTGATGGTATTGGAGACTGATAAGGAGAAGGAGGGAAAGAGTTTTATTTTCATTTATATTATGTTTTTGTTAGTTCAGATAGTTCCCTTTAAAAGATTCACATTATTTTGTACTTTCTGATTATAAATAGATTAAACATTTTAGGCTTGATTTAGGTAGTACCATTTAAAGGCTAGACAAATAGTAAAGTTAATCAAGCAAAGCTTAAGCAACATATTTCTCAACTTGACTTATGGTGTGTTTGGTTGAATGGATGGAAAAATAAAAAGATGAAAAGTGGGAATGATATAATTTCTATCCTTCAAAAGATGAACCCATCTCTCCCTTCTTTATGTTTGGTAGGAGGGATGAAAAGTAAGAATAATTGATTTTTTTTTTGTTTTGGAAGGATAAAAAAGTAAAAGGATGAAAAAAGTACAGATACATATTTTATCATTATATCCATATCTAATATTTAATATATACATAATATGTAATAGATAAATATGATATATGCATATATTAAAGAATATATAGGTAAATAGCATATATTTTAACATACATAATTAATTTTTCATCAACTTTTTTACTCTATTTTGGAGGGATTGATTTTGGTGAGTTTGAAAAAAAGCTTATCCATCCATTTTTCCATCCTTCTTGTTTTCTTTCCTTACAAAACATGATGTTTTATCTCTCTCCAATTTTTCATCCCTTCATTTTTTATCATACCAAACAAAGCATTAGACTTTTGCCAATGATTTCGAGTGACTAACTAACTTGACATAAGATTGATCAGCTGACTTTGAAAATGGTTTGAGAATTGAGAGATGGGTCTATGCCTCTTCCTGTGCCTAATTGATGGCTTTCGAAAAAAGATTGCTTTCAAGGCCAGTGGCGCATATAAGAGTTCCAAGAACATGGAGGTTAGTTAATTTTCTAACTTATTTCTCAACATGTGATTATCCCATTATCAATTAATAAGATCTTGTATAAAATCTATAACTATTTTCTTCAAATTGGAATGGATAACGTTCACAAAAAGATTCTATAATGTGGTAAAACATGTAAATGGAAAACAAACATAAATAAATAAATGACAATATCCAACAAAGCGAAAAATCATGACAATTTATGATGATGTTCAAACTAAACCACGAACAATATTCGACAAAATAAATCAATAGTCATAATTTACCTTTTTTGGACAATATTAAAACAAAATTACAATAAATATTAGACAAAAAATATTAATAATCAAGATGGCCTCAAGCAGACAATAACAAATAACTACTAGTATCCTGGAAAAATCACCAATCATTATGAAAGCATGAAAGTATATCATCAGAACAAAAACAGTGGACAATAACCGACAAAAGATACATCAATATGAACATATAAACATAAATCAATCAAACAAAAAATAATGCAGTAATTACAATGAATGCACAAAGAGATAGCATTCATACTATGAAATCATCTACGTGCATAGTAACATGAGTTCAAAAATCAAATGCTTAAGGAATTGGCCTACAAAGCAATCATGATTATTGTAGGCAAAAGAGGTCACTAATATCATTGTCACTTATGCTTCGTTTGGTATGATGGAAAAATGAAAGGATAAAAAATTAGAATGATGAAAAGTTGGAGGGATAGATAAAACATCATGTTTGGTAAGGAACGATAAAAAGTGGATGCGATGAGCTTTCCTTCTAATTCACAAAAATCAATCTCTCTAAAATTGGATGAAAAAGTGGATGAAAAGTTAATTATGTGTGTTGAAATATATGTTATTGGTTTATATATTCTTTGATATATATGTGCGTATATATCATATTTATCAATTACATATCACATACATAAATTTCATATATAGATATAATGGTAAAATATGTATTTATATTTTTTTCCAAAAAAAAACTTTTTCCTTCTTACCAAATACAAAAAAAATTAATTCTTCTTACTTTCCATCCCTCTTACCAAACACAAAGAAGGGAAAAAAAGATTTTTTCCTTAAAGGATAGAAAGTGTATTACTCCTACTTTCCATCCTCCAATTTTTTGATCCATCCTACCAAATGGACCATTAATTAGTTTTCTAAGACTTGTTTGGCCAAGAACTCAAGAAATTCATATTTCTCAGTCTGGTAGAGATTAACGGAAGTAGTTGATAAACTCATTGGTAATTCCCGTCCAGTTTATAAGGTGAAATATCATGACAACTTGCCTCTATGTAAATGTCTTAATTAGGTAAGTTTGAAGTCAAACTAGAGAGTGGTGGGAAGGTGAACCTTTCTCAATGCATAATTATCATGTCATTAACTAATAGGATATTAAAAGCAAATCAAAGAACTATTATAAACCACGATAGACAATGTCAGACAAAACATACCATGATATAGCAAAGTGCGCAAACAAAAAATATATTAAAAAAAAAAGAATTGACAATATCCGACAAAATAATCAAAAATCAATATAACTTGGCTTGGATGATAGTCAAACAAAAAGCGTTGACAATATTCCACAAAAGAAATCAATAACACGGTGAACATATAATGGACAATATCCAAACAAAACTACTGCAAAAATCAAACAACAAATGTTAGTTATTAAGATGAACCAAAAACGGACAATAACAAACAATTGCCAATATCATCACTAACCACTATGAAACACATGAACGAATAATGCTTGAACTAAACAATTGACAATAAGCTACAAAAGATTCATCAATATGGACACACAAACATAAATCATTTAGACAAAATTTAAAAAAAAAAAGGTAATTATGATGAATACACAAAGATATGGCATTCAAATTAGAAATTCATGTGTGTGCATAATAACACAAATATCAAAAATCAAATGTTTAATGAATTGGCCCATAAAATAATCATAGTTATTTTTCTAACCCCCATCGAAATGCATTATTATCAAATCTTAATTAATAGGATTTTATAAGGAAATCAGTAACTTGTATAAATTGGGATGGACAATACCTATCAAAAAATACCATTCTCAAGTATAACGTGCAAATAAAAACAAAAGATAAACAACTGACACAAAACAGTTACAATGACCTAACTTGGATTACATTCAAATAAGAATGCTAACGATATCCCACAAAATTGATCAATAATCATTATGACCTTGAATGGACAATATCTTAACAAAATCACTGTCATTATCTGACAAAAAAGATCAATAAACATGATGAACCCATAATAGACAACAAATAACTATTGATACTCGACAAAAAATTATTAGTCATTA